GGATAAATCCTGAATAGATCATCACAGATTAGCCTAATGAAAGCAATTTGTGCATGTTCTTCCAGGGAGGTGACGCATCTGTCAACTCTGTTCATCTCTTCCCCAAAAATACTGAACAAATTCTAGTATGCAACAAAACATCATCAATTTACCTCATGACACTTCAAGGGCAGGTAATTATGTTCGTCTGATATTGTCAATCTCTTCTTGTATTCTTCCTTATTTTTACGCAACACACTGTGTTAACTTTAAAAACATCATTGAGTACTTTTATAGTTATACTTTATAGCTTAATCATAATGAGCTGCAAAATCTTACTCTAATAAAATTCATGTGACCTGCGTTTTAGAATAGTGGTTCAACAATGCAGTTTTCTTACCGCTGTTACTGTCATAGTCACTGATGATGCGAAGAAATGTGGTGGCTTCTTGATTCCTTTTTAATGAAATTTTGGAAGCATTTTTTAGTCTTATACAATTAATTGCTTATAGAAAGAGATCCACCAGAAAGTTTGACAGGATTTTAGTTGCTTGTGTTTTTATTTTTGGTAAATAGCTGTTGTCTAATTCTTAGACAATTAATTGCTTGCTGATGGACTTCACTAACGATCATTCCTATGAATTACTTGCTAGGACTGCGTCGATTTAGGTTATAACTTTGCATGATACCCATGTATGTATCATTTCTCGTTCGTAAAAGAACAGTAAGGTTTTACCAGCACGCTGTCCAGAATCTGATGTCTGTATGAGAATATGAATGTAGCATGTTCATTTTCACCCTGGAGTCCTGGCCGCCTGAATATTGGGTTTTCTTTGCCATATTGTTCATAGTTTAAGCTCTCTTGGGACTTGTCTATTAGGAGCTTAACATAAATGTCACAAATGTACTGGAGGGAATTGTAAACTTCTGATGTATCTTCTAATGGCCATCTTAAATGTTAAAGACGATATGATGCAGGACGATCTGTTGCCCATCATGTTGTCTTAGTTTTTTCATCTTCAATAATTTGGTTATTCTGTTATTCAACATTTTAAGCAATTACTTTTGTGCATGTATTATTCCTAATGAGTGATGTTGTTTTTATTTTTTTAAATTTTATTTTACTTTTTTTTTTGAGATTAAGAATCTTTTACTTACAAAGAATGCTTCAGGTGGTGAAGAGTTTTTCCTCTGGTAAACGAGAAGGTGGTGACTTTGTGGCAGCCTGTGTTTCACCAAAAGGAGAATGGATTTATTGTGTTGGTGAAGATATGTATGAAGATATCTTAATATTTCTATACAGTATTTTTGCTGCAGAGTTATATGTCAAGTCATTTATCATTTAATCTTTTTTAGTGGATAGTAAAACCATTAAGGTTGCAGTCTTGGCATTTTGTTTTTGCTACCAATTTAATTGTTCTTGATTCTTATGTACAGGTACCTGTATTGTTTTGGCTACCAATCTGGTAAACTTGATCATCTAATGAAGGTAAGTGTGGATGGATTACATTTCTGTATATTTTATTGATGATTGGATGAATAATTGCGTACTTGCAAAGCACTTCTATTTTGCAAGTTAGTTGTTCCCCATAATCTGAGACTTCTCTGGAAACTTCATACTTATATTCTATCATGGCATATCGTCTATGAGATGGGTTAGTTTTAATGTGTTTGGAGACATTTAGTGACAAGAAATGGTTTAGCAGTAGGTTATACTATTGACATGATTGTGGGAGGGTGGGTCACTTGTCTATGCTTCATCAGCTACCCAGAAAAAAATATAAGAAAATAGATTTTCTCCTACTTAAACCGCCGAACGAACTCTTTTCATGTTCTTTTGTCTGAATGTTTTCTATATTTCTGGCTTCTGGATAAGTTCTTGATCTTGGTTAGGTTTTCTAGAAGTTAGTCAAAAGCAGTGACAGTGTCGTTCTCCCTTATCAACCGCTAACTTATCTATTAAGATCTTGACTCTACATTTGCAACAGTTGTTTTTTTCTATTGAGCAAATAGTAGTTCTCCTGGATAATCGGTATCAGTTTTTGCCTTTTGTAATCAATAAAATGGAAATATTAGGGTGTGTGGCAACTCCAAGGTTGCTGATAGCGGATCGCAGCGCGTCGCGGCGAGGTACCGCTAAGACTATATCGGGCTATTGCGGCGAAATCGCGGCAAATAGCGCACAGTCAAATAGCGGTCAAATTTAAATATATTTAAATATCCTAAATAATAAGAAAATTCGTAAAAAAATCTAAAAATTCAATTAGTTGTAAATTTCTTGTATTATCAATAAATAACAATTAATAAGCTTGTTGTATGAATGAAACTATGAAGAAATTCAAGAAATATAGCATCATAATATGTGTGATAGCGGGTTTAGCCGCTTTTAACAACAAAAATCCGCTTTTAACCATGAAAATCTGCTTTTAACCGCGAAAACCCGCTTTTAACCCGCTAAAATCCGCTTTTACGTGCTATTCGAATGAATAGCGGATTTTCCCGCTTAAGCCAGCCGCGAAACCCCTACGCGTAGCGCTGAAGGGCCGCGACCGCTATTCACGCCGCTATAGCCCCGCTATTGGCCGCTATTTACAACACCGACTCCATCAAACATGTTTTAGTTGGTATACTCTTGGTCCAAAACCTTGTTTTAGTTTGGCAAAAATTGGCCTGAAGTTGACCTAGTTTTTTCTAGTTTAAATTGTAGTCCTTAAACTAGTTCTTTTGTGGACCAGCTCTTATACAGACCAACTCCAGCTTGATAATAAAAAGTCCAGTCCAGCCTTGTTCCATTTCAAAGTTGCCAACACACCTTTACATTCTTAACCAACCTTAATTTATTTTAAGCCTTCTAATTACATGTGGCATGTAGAATAAGTTCACAGGGGATTGAATTGTAAAGGCGGAGAATTTTGAGACATTGGAAGAAGATGAAGAAAAGACAGAAGTTTTAGATTCACCTCCACAAATGAGAAGACAGCGAGTTATATCCTCAATCAAATACTTTATTGCTCAAACTCAATCAATTCATTTATTTCAATCATGACATGGAGCTACTTCTTAAACCACACAATTTAATTTCGTTAATAACACCAACTGTAAGGATAAACTTAGTTATAATCCAACTACAAAGGCCTTTGAATATTAAAGAGATGACAATGAAATTAAAAAATAATATCCAACAAACGAATCTAATTCTAACCATTTATACTCGACAAAATCTAAATCTAGTAACTAACGAAACTAAAACATTGATATGCTAAAGAAACAATGCTCTGCAATCTTCTTATCTACAAATTTTATCATATTAAAATGAGGCAAGGAAATTGATTTGTATCTGTTCTTGTTTTCTATCACACCCTATGACCCACATTCAGAGAGTTATACAACAGGATGGCGAAACATACGCTGAGTCCTAACTGTATATGTCCATCTATTTTATAAATACCAGCTTTACACACATTTCCCCACATCACTTTAGACATAATATGTAGCATCAAGTGATAAATAATCAAATATACAGATATGCCTCTAAATAGTCTTAATAAATAAACTGGCCCAAACGATATAACCTCTCAAAGGTTCAATAAAGATAGATCTCCATAACCAACTAATAACAATAAACTCAAACCCTCAGATCATGGGGATAATCTACTACATAGTCTGATTAAAAGATAAAACAGCTAAATGAAAATGTCCATGATCTACTGACCAAATCCAAAGCAACCTCCTATTGCTCTTGAACCTGATCTTAGTGGAGCACTTGCTCCTGGGCTAGGTTAACATGTCTGAAAGCTGGAAACAACACTAGATCGTAAGACAAATTCCAAGGTTCTATAAAGTTTCAAGGGAAGGAACAAGCATGCAACATGTATACTTGTAAAAGCACTCTAGATCAGTAAACAATTATAGTAGATTTGCAAAACTCTTTAAATGTTGTAAAGATAGTTATGAAATCATGAAATGAAATGTGAATCAGTAAATCATCAATGAACAACAACATAAACATCCTGCTGCGGTGCAATATAACCAAATGTCAACTTATTATGTGTCCTTAATGTGATCTTATTTCGATTACAACGTTAGGAGAGTCGTCTGGGAAGGGACACTGAGCGGTCTCTCTGCCTTTGGCAATTTGATGCGTCATAGATTGGTTCCCCTTATTATGTCCCCACCTTGCTGATGAAATCTACATTTGATATTCGGCCTTTGACCTGCCATTTTCCATTTTATTAAGCAGAGATTGTGTACAAAATGTTATTCACTAGGTCCGTTATCTTAAGCGCATTAAGAGTGCTCACAATCAGTACTGTGAACCAACTGCATTCATGATAGCCGCTATAACATTCCCATACCTGAGAGACCGTGGATAATGACTATGAGACGAAAGCTCATGTTTGGTATTCAACCATTAAACGTACAACTATACTCATCTCATAGTTGGGGTGAATCACGCCTGGCTCATCACATCGATGTCTATAAAGTATATCTTACATCCTCATTCCATCTCTTTTGGTTTCGATTACAATTTCCATATCACTCATCATTTCAATTCATCAATCATTTCACTTCTATGTCAAATGGCATGATTGATGTCTCAGTCCCTATACTCATCGCCATTTCCAGTCGTTCTAGCCCCTGACATGTAACTAGTCTATGTTCTCTACATAGACGTTCGCAATTATATCCAATCATGTTGGTGTGTTCCTAACATGTCACTATTCATTTTCAGGGTGCAACACACACTTGTACATGTATATCTCATTGTGAAAACCAAAACAGTAAAAAATACAATCCATAGTCGGTATAAGGGTCAGTGGGACAGACCCCATCTGCCTGCTGGTATATCGCTGGTCGGACCATCGAGGTCTTGCAGTCAGTATATCGGTTGGTCCGACCCTTGGTACCTCTTGGCGATACACCAGTCGGTCGGATCAGCTGGTAGGCCTCTGCCACTCGTCGTTGCTCTATCATTTGTCCATTTTCGCTGGTTGTTATACATGCATTTTTCTCATTCCAAACACAATAAAACTTGTTTTATGCATGAAAACTGATCAGAAATGAAACCCTAATTTTGATGTGGTAAAAATCTTAATTTTAGTAGTATAATAAAGTTTTAACAATCAACAAGTATCAGATCTATCAAAATGCTATCCTTAATCACGAAAATAAATAGAGATCTATAGAAAAACATCAAATCTCACACATAATATGATTCTGAACTAAAACTTTGAAAAAGATATTGAAGGAATAGATAAAGAACTAATTGCAACCTGAGAACCTTGTCTGATCTAATGGAAACTCCTAAAATTCGATGCTAAAATTTCGTCCTAAGGGCCCATTTGCTTTGATAGAAGTACTGAAAATAGGAAATGGATCAAGGAAGTAACTTCTAAATTTATGAAGTAGGAAGTAGTGGTAGTAATATTTTTTATTTGTGTTGCATATTTTTTTTGAAATAGTGGAAAAATCGTTCATTTTTGTGTTTGGATAACAATGAAAATTTATTAGGAACTCATAAAGGAAAATTTATTTATTTCCTAATTGATGCATATTTCACCTACTTTCGAGTTTCGAGCCTTGAAGGTCGAAAAAATATTTAGAAAGTATGGATGATATGTAGTCGCTACATCTACTTCCTTTACTTCAGCTACTTCATAATTACTTCCATGCAAACAAACATGCCCTATGCTCTAGCCTTCTTCCAAAGCCTAGTTTTAAAAAAGTTCGTAGGAAGTCCTAATTCCACTAAAAAGAACGGTTTAAATAGGTCGGGGAACATGTACAATTATCTGTTGAGCTCAGTAAACAGGTTAACTTTTGTTGTCTCAGAAAATTCCCAAAAAATTCATGTCTACTTGGAAAGTTTGACGAACGACTTCTCTTCTACGGCTACTCTAATTCTAACGTTCGCTTCTAAAAGTTCATCAAAGTTCAAATAAATTCCGATAAATATCTAGAAAATGGAAAAAGCATACATTTGGTATTTCTATTGTATTTATACGAGTATAATGTACTAAGCTAGGGGCCTCACACTTTCTTTATGGACTATTAGTCTATCTTTGCTAAAATCAAGGGTAAAATACATTTATCCTGTCCAAAATTTAGCTTGATAGTACATTATCGCTCCAAGTCCCCCTGAATTTTAGGTGTTTCAGAAAACCCCTTAATTTTTACAATTTTTTTACTAACCCCTCTTAATGTGTTTGATAAAATGACCAAAATACGCTTTTCAAGTTAACACTAAAATGACCAAAATACGCTTTTCAAGTTAACACCTAATTATTGAACTAATTACTCTAATTAAATTTAACTCTAACTTAATTTTAAATATTAAATAAGAGAGGGAGGGAGAGAGAGAGGGGAAGAGGGATTTAAATAAAAGAGATTTCTTTCCATCAGGAGTATTTGTCATTTGGACAAACGTGATTTTTGCGTGTGTAGATGTAACAGTATTAGTTGGGGGGTTATCTGACAAAATTCAAGGAGCTTTATGTTACATTTTTTAATGTTTAGACGGCTTATCTCAAAATTGGCCAAACTTAAAGGAGATTTTTTTGAAATTTATCCTTTATTTTCAACACCCCCCCACCCCATCAAAGGAAAAAGAAAAAGGTTTGCTAGCGTAGCATTTTCATGTCATCTAAAATCTTTTGCATGATTATTTTGTTGCCAAGATTTACCCTTGTTTCATTTCTAATATTATATGACATAGAACATGAAAGGGTATGAACCACTAAAAATTCGATAATATAATTTAAATGGAAATAAACTATCGAAGTTATTTTAATCTAAATTTAAAATATGATTATAGTTTAACTGTATGACTATGCTTAGTTGAAATCTATCCCTAATTCTGTCATTTTTTTTCTTAAAATAAAAACATGAGTAGTCTATAGTTAGCCTTTTTGTAATTAATTAATCACAGTAGTATTTTTTTTTCAAATTTAAATATTAAAATGTCTTGGTTTAAAATTTTGGATTTAAAAATTCATCTTTAAAATTCAGATCTGATTTTTATCTTTTTTAGATTTAGGTTAGGGGTATGGATAGGAACAAAAGCTAAAGTTATGATTGATAAATTAGCATACTATACATCTTATGATTCTAAACAATAGGGCTATCCGTATGGGTGAATAATGCTTTCATCTTTATTGTTAGCACCATTAGTTGTCATCTAACCTTGACAGGCAAAGTGTTAAAAAGTAAAGGATACAGGGGATATGTGCTCTCAAACTAAACATGGGAAGGATAATATAATATTTCATCCTAAAATCAATTCATATTTCCATTGGTCGAGTGCTTCCAACTTCTCATCGCCTACTTTTTTGTTGACTAATTAATCCATGATTTTAATTCTTAAAGTATGCCTAAGAGAATGTTTCAGATGTCTGGATATTCTTGCTCCTTGCAGACTGTTCAGATTCAGGATTGGTCCCAACTAAAAATTGAAACACCTGTGGTATTGATTTGGCTTCATATTATGTTTTGAGTTTTGGATGGTATTTAGCCAATATTTTTAGGTTTGGACATAATGAATCGATCGTTGTTTATGGCTTTGCCTTTTTCTGCCAAGCTTGTACTTCCAAGTGGCATTTGATCTGGCATTTGATCTGCACATAGTCAGAATGTCGCTACTCATTATAAAACAGACATGTTATACGTGCTTGCTAGTTTGTGCTGCTCTTCTTACTTCTTAGGCTTACATCTGAAACTTTTCTAACAAGAAACTCATTGAATACACTATAAACAACAGCATGAATTGGAATATACTAAAAGTTTTCATCTAGTTCTACCTGAAATTGAGTTTTTGATTAGGCACGAGTAGAAAAATAACTTCGATTGTAAGAGATTTTTCTGATTACCCGCAAATTAGGGGAGCCAGTCAGGACCAGTCCTGACAGGGCCTTTGATGGTGAAGGAGTTGAAAGAATTTTTATACACAGTACTATGGACAGCTGATTATAGAAACTTTCAAATCTCCATTGAGTTTTATTCCCAATTCTTATTCTGTTTTGCTGGTAAATGGTTTAGGCTTAAGTAACAATAGTGATTACTTAAGAGGACAGAAGAGAGAACAGGTTAAGTACCTTTAGCAATCTGAAGCTTAAGAAATTAATTAAAAAAAAATGAAATTCTTGTTGGTTATGCTTTGGTCAATATCGTTCAGTTATCAATTCTCTCATCCTCTTGTTAACTTTGCTAAAAAGGTTATCTTCTAAATGCTTGTAAGATCATTTTTAACCAAAAATTTTGGACATGCTTTGCAGCTTACAGAAAGATAAAATGTGTGTGGCGACTTTCGCTTTCTTCAAATTCTTATCCTTATGTTTGTCATCCTCATCTTTGTACAGGTCCATGACAAAGATGTGATTGGTGTAACTCATCACCCTCATAGGAATTTGCTCGTCACCTATGCTGAGGACTGCACGATGAAAACATGGAAACCTTGATAGCAGAATTCATAAGTCATTCAAGGGGGAAAAAAAAAACTGTGTCTTTGTCTTACAGTTAGTTTTATTTTTCTGTATTCCTTTTGGCTTATGGGGCCGTTTCTAATTTGTAACATCTTCTTAGAGTGTAATTCGTCACACCTCAATGCAATTTAGTGAGGGTGTTTTTATCGATTTGTCTTTTCCTTAATTTCCCAGTTTGTTTCCGCTTATCCGATATCTTAGGGTGTTTGTTTTGGAGATGGAGCAGCAAATGCATTTGCAACACCATTGTTGTTACAACTTGTGTCGGAACGCTCTTCAAATTGAACTCTGATGCAACGCCCTCATCTATTGCTTATCCCCTGGTTTTTTATTGGCATGATCTTGTTTAGTCCCAAGTTCAGTAATTTTTTTTCAAAGTTATCCGAAATAATCTATCCGCGCGTGTGAACTCTCCAAATTACCGTCAAACTCATCTGATTCCTGTCTTTTCAATATTGTTTGCTATCGGACTTCCAAACAGAAGTGTGTCCCTCTACTAATTAACGATGCAGTAGGCAACCCCCATGAGTTAATTTAATTAATCAGCTGAATACAATCATTCTTGATCCATAATCATATGATCTTATAAGTTGGACGAGCGCCGGTTGTGCCACTTAATGAAGCAATTGTCGTCGGAGGCAATTTTCTATGCTCAGTTCTGTTAATAGCCTGCGTTGAAAACCAATCAATTACCACTAAATCAGTTTGTTGATAACGAGACATTTGACGCACGTAGTCGACGTTAAAAATTGGGTATGTAGACTTTGTGAAATAGTAGTTGTGAGATACTAAATCACCGGTGTGCATCTCTTTGTATTTTTTTTACCTACACTAGATTCAGAACAAAAGTTAGGAGCTTGTGTGATCTGCTCATTTATTGTAGGTTTCTGTGATGACTTCTCAGTTTATGTGAGCTGATCATATGCGCTTTGATTTCTTGGTGTTTATTGTAGGTTTCTGTGATGACTTCTCAGTTTATGTGAGCTGATCATATGCGCTTTGATTTCTTGGTGTTGGAGGAGCTTCAAACATGTTATTGTCCAGTTTATGTGAGCTGATCATATGCGCTTTGATTTCTTGGTGTTGGAGGAGCTTCAAACATGTTATTGTCGGGGGATGCATGGAGGCTGGAGCAGTGTAGCTCGTTATTTATTTATTTATTATATATAACTAATTTAGTGAAATGTAAGTAGTAAGTTTTGATAGAAGTATGCCTAGCCTAGGTATACTTGTATAAAACTTGTTGAGCATTGGAAGTCTTCTTACCTTCGACCAAAAAAAAAAAAGAAAAAAAAGAAAGAAAGTTAGAGCTTGTGATTTCTGGAACTATTGATATTGGGAAGAGTAGTTTGTTAAAGGTGAATAACTTATTAAACTAGAGGACAGCAACATAAGGGCCAATAAGAAAAATTGAACAAGGAAAAGAGCACCCTTATGAGTGTGTAATATACTAATATGGGCATAGTGCAAAAATATAAAGGAAAATGAACAAGGAAAAAGAGTAACAGAACCTGCAGCTACTTCTATAAGTGTAGCCAGCTTGATATTATTTCTTGCAAACTGAACGTATGCAAGATATTAGAAACATGGAGATAACTAAAGACAAATGGTGCTTTGATGACAAAGAAGATCAATTCATTATTTGTCAAAAATTCAATCAAACAAGGGCATATCTGCGGCAATTAGTGGGGGAAAACGGAAACAATATTTAACATAACATGAAACTTACTTCTGCTCATCACCGGTCAAAGTAATATCTTGGGTGCAGTCCTGAGCCTCTCCGAATTCTTGATCAAACATACCAGATTCAATGATATTAAGATCCCTCAACAAAGCTTCATAATGCTTCTTAACTTCCTCCTCACTCCTTTTCCCTCCAATTACCGAAATAATCTCCTTCCATCGATCGGGGTTATCTTCATCAATCACAGCTAAAGCCATCTCAAATAGCTTGTTCTCTTCCCAACTCCATCCGCAGAAATCCATAGTTCAGTATGCGTCTACTTGAAGAAAGCGTCGAAAATAGAGTTTTGGTGATAAAAGTGATGCTATAAAGCCTTTTCTCTAGGAATCTCGCATCCTTTTCTCTTCTTTTTTGACGCTGAAGGAATCTGTGAGAGAAATTGAGCAGGTATCATCTCCAAGCCAGAAGTCTTATCCCTTGGAAAAGAGAGCAATGGACGACACTATGTATGGAAGGAAGACCTTTAATGAGAAGAATGAGTTAATAATATGCAAGGATATACTTAATATACTATACAAAATGATAATAAGCTTAGATACCAATATTAAGAAGATTCCTTTTGATTCATAAAGCATCTTGAATAATGCCGAAGTACTTTTTTTAAGGTCACAACTTATGCCAAAAATAGTAAAATGTTAGAAGTTACCATCACATCAACAACTACATGAGGAAGGCTTGTATATGAGATTGGTAATATTCATACTATACATAGAAAATACAATAAAAAGATAGCCAATCAATTAGGTGTGGTATAAGCATGACAATTTTCAAATAACAAGAAAAAGACACCAAATGTGTCCCTAACTAATCAAAATTTTCATCTGAACTATGAAAAGACCATCAGATAGATGTGTGTAAGCACTTTATCATAGAAATAGGAAATAATTAAAAAAAAAAAAAAATTACCAGCGAAGAAGATATTTCAATACTAAACATAGAACTACTTGGGAAGACAAATGGTTAGGCACTTAGGCCATAAGTCCCTAGCCAATCTCTTTCCTGCTGCATATAAGCTGACTTTCTCTTGCAACGTCTCTGTGTCTTCTCAAGGTATGTTGAGAGGAAATATTTGGTCTTGGAAACTAGGAGTGTCCAACCGGCCCGGCCCGGCCCGGAAAATCGGGTACGGACTGGGCAAAAAGGCAACCTGAACCCAAGCCTGGTTGGACCAGCCCGGGTTCGGGCCTAGGCCCGATCGGGCCGGGCATCGGGCCAGCCCGATTTATTTTCATTTTTTTGCTTAAAAATTAGTTTTTTTGTAAAAAACTAAATTTCACGAGTAATTAAAAGTAAAATATACAAAATTTTGTTAAAAAGTCAATCATATTATTAATCACTTTTAATTGTACAATTTACAAATACAAATATCATAGAAATTAAAATGATAAAAAATAAATTCTTTATTATTAATCACTAACGATTATATATTTTTTAGAATTTATCGCATCACAATAGATGAATATATCTCAACTAGGTTGGTACATGCTCATCTATATCTTTATCTGTTGATGTACTAGTAATCACACAGTCAATATGTATCCGTGTTTGGATGAGGTTGTTGAGGATTGATGAGGGGCCACTTTTTTCTCTGACTTTATGTCTGGTTCTTTGAGTGAGATTAATGAATCTGCACAAGTAGAAATTCGTGAGAGGACGGGGTTTGGTTCCCCCGTTATACCTCAGACGATCAAGTTAGCTGATGAACTTGAGTGTGGTAAAAATAAGAACTATCAGAGTTCTTGGATGTGCAGAAATGATTTGCTCAAAAGATCAGATTTTTGTATCAAGATCCCGATCCCTTTTAAAGATCGAATAGTACCTGTATATATACTAAGGGTATAAGGGTAGACTGGTCACTTCGACCGAGAACTGAGAGGCAGTGGTGAAGTATGGACTGGCAGTTGCGTCAGCACTTGCTTTACAGGTATCAATTAGTGATTGGGGGAAATATCACTTCAGTATTAAACGAGAAGTGAGTGGTGGTATGGCAGTACCCACGTGGCTTGATGAGTCATGAAGACTATCGGGGCTAGAGGCATGATGCACCTACCGTGCATTAAACGCGATGCTGACACGTTGTCAGTGAGAGAGGCTCAAGGCAGAAGTTGCCCATTAGCTTCGCCGAGAAGTAACGCCTTTCAAGTTGTTCTCGCGAGGCGTCCAGCAAATGGTCGAGTGGGCTCGTGGCGAGTCGTCTTTGACAAAGGGGGTAACAAGTACTGCCTTTTGACTTGACATGAAAGGATGTCCACTCGACAAGTTGGATGAGTTGTCGTCCCTACTAGTCTCTGGCCGCCAAGTTGATTGGGACATAGCATGCACTAGTACACTTGTCCGTTGCTTGGTACTGAGTTGCACTCTGGCGGATGAGAACACCATAATGCTATCATTTATAACTTTTTCCAAAATAAATTATCAAAAATTTATAGCTAAAAAATAAAAATTACAAATTAATGAGTAGTTTGACTAATTTCTACTCTTTATCTCTATCTCTTATTATTAACTCATCAAGTCTATCTTCAATACTAGTCATCTGATCAATGCCTTGAGTTCTCTTCTCGGACCTCCACTGATCTTGTACGCATATTACCGCCTATACGGTAGATGGATCTAGCAATGTTTTGTGGTTGTCGATCAAACATTCTGATGTGCTGAAGGCAGATTCCCAAGCTATTGTAGAAACCTACAATGTCAGTAAGTCACGAGCCATGATAAAAAATATAGGATATGAAACTGTTCCATATACTCTCCATTGCAAAATATTAAAATCATTATTTTAAGCATTAACTAAAAGTGCGGATAAATATTGTTCAATTTTAGAAACTTTCCTTGATGATGATTCAAATCCAGATCCATCGCTACCAGTTAGCCCCCCTATCATTAATTGCTTATCAAAAATCTTACATTTGCCCACACTTGAACTCGTAGAAGCCGAAATTGTAGGTTTGATGTGTACTTGCACCATATCTACCTGCATACTCCTCATATAATATTTAAAAATAATATTTAATAGTGTTATGATGAGTAAGAGCAATAATAGTCTGACTATTATCAATGTCTGTTATCATATTTTCATGTAAAGAATTTAACAAAATTTAAAGGCCAACATTCTTCAAACATGGATCGATAAGAACCCCAAACCAAAAATAATAGGAATAGACCTAAAATACTTATTAAATTTTCTTTCCATTTGAGAAATCATATTTCTAAAATAATTATCCTTATGATAAGTAGTAAAAAATTTTGAATGATTAAAACATGTAGAGCATCTTGAATAATAGTTGGATAATAACAACCAGATGATAACGTAGTAGCATCATAAAAAAACTTATAACATCTCTTTTACACTATATATAACTGTCCGTTTTTCATCAGTTATTCTATACATATTACTAGAGCTAGAACTAAAAGCATAGAAAGCAATAAAATCATTTATAATTTCTTTATACTCTATTGCCATATTTAACATTGCATATTGTGGAATTCCACCTATGATCAATATCTTTTGGATTTAACCTGGGTTTTAAATTTTTTCTTTTACAGAGTTATTTCCATCTTTTAAGTCTTAGTTCAAAAGCATTATGAGCATAAGCTATAACTCTAACGTTTTTTATCATGAGTTTAATTTTATTAAATGCATTTTGAACAATTATATTTAAAATATGACACATGCATTTAATATGAAAAATATCGCCATGACATGTCAATAACAAATATGATTTGATATGATCTATAGCTACATTATTATTACTTGCATTATCTAGTGAAAAAGAAAATATTTTTTTCAGAAATTTTTAATTTTAAAAGTTCTTCTATTATTAAATTTACAATATTAACACCAGCATGTGAATCTTTAAATATAATAAAAGAAATAACTCTTTTAAACATTTACTAACTATTATCAATCCGGTGTGCTGTGATACATAAATAATCAGTTTGTACTCTAGATGTCCAAATATCACAAGTTAAAGAAAATTTATAGTTTAAATTTTAAAAATAAAAATTACTTTTGTTTGCTCCTCGTGATAATATTTTAAAATATCACATTGATAAGATTAACGATTTTTTTAAATGAGGGATAAAAACCATCTCTAATCATATACTCAAATTCATCATCTTCTACTAATTTAAAAGGAATGGTTTTAAAAATAATAAAATTGATGATGTATTTTCTAGCTTTAATTGCGTCACCAAGAACCGAGGCTACCGGAGGTTGATGATTGGAAGAGTAGAGACTGACAGATGTCTCCTTGAGACATTACCGCTTGAGCTCTATTATACTTTTCTAAATGGCGTTTGAGGTGGTTGATGCCCATTTTATAATAAGCTTAGAAAATATGGCCACACAATGCACATTTAGTCTTCTGGGTGAGAAGTTTACCTTATTGATCATTGGTGACTTCTATCTTCTTGAACAAATTCCACGCATCAGACCTCTGCCTTTTAGGAGCTCTAGATGTGGGATCATCGCCACCAGATTCGAGATCAATATCGGTAGGAGAGTAGCTATAGGTGTAGTAGGAGTAGGACTCATTTTAATATCGAGAGTTGGAACTTACCCTTCATAATCAGAGGAGGAAACCATTTGATTGGAGAATTAGAGAGTGAAAGAGAGAATAAAAGAGTAGTAGAGACAAGTAATGGGTTTTGAATAAGAAAAATAAATAAAATCTCCCTCTATTTATAGAGGCACCCCTAGCCAAATGACCAAAATACTTTAAATTTTGGCCTTTTTTTATCGTATTTGGGGTTATTTTGGTCAAAAGACCAAAAATAGCCGTTATAGGCTATTTTGGTTAGATCGAACCGAGCCGGGTTCGAGCTAGCTCGGGCAGCACAGTCCAACGGTCACATTTGTGACCGTTGGACCACAGGCTGGGCTGACCCTTCCCGGTTCAAATTCTTCCGTCAGGTTCGAGCCTAGGACTAGGCCAGACCCGGACTTGGGATACCCAGCATGGCCATCTTCCTGCTCGGGCTAGGCCCTGGCCGGGCCTCCATGAGGCAACCCAGCCCGGGTCTGGAGCTCGGTTCGGCCCGAGAATCCAGATTTTTCTTTCTTTCGGGCCGGGCTCGAGCCTGGCCGAGTCTCATACGAACACCAGGTAGGGCTCGGGCCTTAGGCCCAAATGGACAGCCCTATTGGAAACCCCTTCTTAGAAGAGCTATATCATCAACTGAGAAACAACAAGTGTCAGGACTTTTTGATATTTTATCCACTGCTCCTACACCAACTGCTATTTAAGATTCTTCTATATGGCCTCTTACCAAGTTTAATATTTTTTCGGTGCAATCTCTCTACTACTTCTTAAATTATGGAGGTGTTCAAAGTGAATTATACAAGTTTATTTGGAGCTCATGTATTCCTCTGAAGGTTAAGATCTTTCTTTGGACACTATCTAAGGACAAATTACATACCAAAAACAACCTAATTAAGAAAGGTTAGTTAGGAGAA